ACCCACACACGGCCACGTCCCACACACGGCCACGACCCACACACGGCCACGTCCCACACACGGCCACGTCCCACACACAGCCAACAGGGAAGCCAACAGTGTGGCATGGAGCGAAATATTCACCCGTTTCAAATGCAGACCATAAGCTGCTTACATTTAGTTACCAAGAAGATTCAGGAATAGTCGCTGGTTAATGTGTAACGACAACTCGTGACTCGCCGGCAGGGAGGGATGGAAGACGGAGAGGCTGCAGCAGACGAACCTGAGGGTTATCTGAACGCCCAGCTGCTCCAGTGGGGACAGGGACTGGCAGGTGGCGCTGTTGGCTGCTGTAGGACGTGTTGGAACAGGATCAGCAGGAACAGGATCAGCAGGAACAGGATCAGCAGTTGGGTCTGGTTGTGCTGGCCAGGCATTTAAAAACAAGACAGACACACACCGCCTCCTTGAGTGACACTGAAAAGGCGTAACGTCCAGCTGAAAATACAGACTGTCTCAATTAAAGGCCACATTCATCAAGCTCCACATGTCATTATAAACAGCAGATTCATCTGTTCAGAAATTCTGAGGAAAAAAAGTTTTCATTGCAGCGTCTAGAAAACGCAAGATCATCATGAACTTGGACAGCAGACTGTGGATGCGATCCGGCAACTTGATTTAGCGATGCTTTGACAATTTATATAGTTTCACATAAAAAGCTGAACATAAAGTTAACAGCAGCTGTAATTCAATGTAGTGAATCCATATGGGTACCGACCTGCTCAGCTAACGGGCAGCAAATCGTCATTTTAAGAGTGCAATCAATACAAAGCAGCGGCTTCACCGTTTGAGACGTTACTCATCGCAAACTGACAGGGTGCTTAATAAACCCCTGTGAAAAGGCAGTCTGCACCATGTGGCAAGGCGGCGGCATGTTTAAATGTGGATAAATGCAAAACGATTCACTGGTGGAGTAGGAGTTACAGTACAGGGGGCTGGGGATTCCCGTGCACTGGAACGAAGCAGCATTATGTAAAATGCAGTGTAGTGGTGCTTTGCGCTCACTGTGAGAGGATTAACAGCTACAGCACCCTCCAGCAGGGGGCGCCACTGCGTCGCAGCAAACCCAGACCTGAAAATGATTTTAAATAAAATCAATTCAAGGTAAGCCCACTAGGGGGCGGGATGATCCAGATATGCCAGGGATCTTCAACCATTGTCTACAATGAGAGCCACTTCTAGACAGTGGGGGCTGGAGGGGGCTACGTGCGGGGGCTACAGTAAAAGGGGCAATGATGGTGAAATTAAACTGATTTCTAATTAGTGTTATGTGGAGCTTCCTTTGGGTTCTCCAGATTTCCCTCCAAAAACATGCGAACTGGAGTTGCCAAATTATCCCTAGGTGTGACTGTGTACGTGAATGGTGAGTGTGCCCTGCGACGGGTTGGCGCCCCGTCCTGGGTTATTCCCTGCCTTGCGCCTGCAGCTTCTGGAACAGACTCCGGACCCCCATGACCCTGCATAAAACAAGCGGATATTTCTACCAGCAGCTCGCTGGCGACCACTGAGATACACAGACGCACAACGGGAGAGGATGAAGGTCGACCACGACGGCAATTTTAACGGAAGTGGCTCATCCAAATGCAGGAGCAGAGACGAGGTCGGAAGTCACCTTAGATGGGAACACAGCAAAACACCAAACATCGCTGTCTGCGATGAAGCAGACGGTGTACGAAACCCCCACCAGCGTAACGGGGACGCGGCATTGGGATTCAAGTCAGCGCCGCACCTAATTTAAGTCACGGTGAGTAATTAAAAAGCGGGGGGGGAGCGGTTGGGGAGAGCGGACACGGTGCTGGCGCCTCTGCCACCGGCATCGCGGTGTGACGGGGGGGCCGGGTCCTCACTTCCTGCCGTCTGACAGATGGGGTCACGCAGAGGCACCGTCAGACACGGGGGGCGTCACCACCTGCAAACTGCCGGTGACGGGTGTGGCTGAGCGAGGCGGGAAGCGTGGCCTGAGACGGCACCTCCCTGACAGAGCGTTTCGGGAAGTATGAGAGGTGGGGGGAAGGGGGGCATAGAGAAGTGTGGGGCTGTGTGAGGGGGGGCGGGCAGATGCTTGACTCGCCTGTCGGCTGTACATGTAAAAACAAATTAACAAAAAAAAAAAAAAAACATAAGAGAAGCTGATTGGCTGGTAGTGGCCCTCCCCCATGACGATGCGCTGGCAGGCTGTCCGCTGCCCCCCTTTGGCCGCTGGGGCGCGGCTCACGCTGCCCATGCATCTGTAAACACAGCTCTCCTGCAAAGGGTCTCAAGACCTTTTTCATTTGCTATTCTCACCGCGTTTCCGCCATTTTTATCCATCCTAACACTAGCACAGGGTCTACTCAAAGCAGGCGGGGGAGGTGAAGGCCTGAGACATCCACTCAGACTGGGGGGTATAGCACCCCCTGGGGGCAGGGAGGCGACACTACATGACTAATTATCACAACTGCATATCTCCTTTTATCAGCCATGCCTGGAAACTGGTGAGTGACACCGAGACTGAGCACACAGACGCTGCGAGATGAACGAGATGTGATTAAGCGGCATGTAACGCACACAGAGCACACATGCAGCACACATGCAGCACACATGCAGCACATATGCAGCACATATGCAGCACATGCGCAAACAAACAATTCAGTCATGTGGATCGAATCCGTTTTAATGGACCTGAATCAATGCACCATGAATGGAGATTTGCAAGGAAATAAATCTTCGACGGCTGTAAATTTGGCCGTATACTTCAGAATAAATGGCGTTTTAGCAATACAGCGTCGCATGATGTGTAATCACCTTTGGTGATCACCGTTTCGGCGCACCACCTGTGCAAGGTCCTCCAGATAAACTCTTTATTTGCTCTCATCCTGCACACTGTCCACGATTGGCTGATATAAATGTGACGCTGCGGGGTTGGTCAGCATGCTATGCACCGCGCATCACACTTTAAATAGTGTTTGAAGTAAACAGTGTTTGAAGTATATGGCCACTGTAATACTGGGAAATAAGTTCACATTTTCGCTCCCATGAAGCTCCCAGCCAATCAAGAACACAGAGTACCTGATACAGGTGTGCTGGGAAATGGGAGGGAGCGAAAATGTGGACTGTTGGGTCTGCTTCGGGACACAGACGAGCACCGGGGTGCCTCAGTGATCAGCACTGTTTTCTCACACCTCTGCACACACATTCTTACAGGGAGGAACAACCACGGAGGGAGACGGACGCAACGTGAGGTTTGCACTGCGGCGAGTTTCTGGGGAAGTGCGGGAAGCACGCAGCCCGCTGCGATCGCACGGCTGACTCCGCAAGGTAAACGAGATAACCGGCGCGCAGCGCTTTATTAATCCCCAGCGGAAATTGGGCTGCCAAACTAGGACTTTTATCAGTGTTTTCAAAACTTAATATAATTTATCAGGTTTTTGATAAGGGGCAGAGGCCCCTTGTTATAGATATGGCACACGGGGTAATGCAGGGGACTGATGTTTGACCTTTGGGCAGCGTATTTAACCTGAAGGGACACGTGAGAAATCAGCAGGCGTGCAAGTTAGCTCAGATAAACCACGGCTTTGCACAGCAATAAGACGACATTTTTTTTCTCTTCCATAACAAATAACATCAGTGTGAAAAGTGGAATTCAACCTCCCAGCACCAGCGAGCTAGCCGTGAGGACATGCGAGGGACACCAGGCCCCCGACTGACCTTTGAACTCACTCACCTTTGAACTCCACCACCGGGAAGAAGCAGCCAGCTGTAGAAGCAGAGAGGTGCAGTACGGTCTTCTCCAAAAGGTCGGCCAGCACTGTAGGGAGGGCAGACGTCTTTGTGTTTACACAAATCCAAGGGTTTTAACAACAGTAAGCTGTTGTTACTGAGGCACGCGAGTCTCCCCCCCCCCCCGCTGTAGGGCTGGCCAATTAATCAAATTTTAATACCAATTAGAATTCTGGCTTCCAATGACTATCAAAACAAAATGGTCCAGATAAAACAATTACTGTACTGCATTTCGTTTCACGGTGATGCCCCCGTTTTATTATGCGTTATAAATCCAGTGCACCCCTTTCCAGACCCTTTTGTTTCTCAGCTGAATTATATTTATCGTTAAAGAAAATCCACAGTAAAACAGTTTTTTGAAAAGAAAAAGCTCAATAAATGCATGATATTTCCAAAGTCAATGACTAATCATGTTAAAAAAATCATCTCAATACTGACCAAAATAATCGCGATTATTATTATTATTATTTTTTTTTTTTTGCCATAATCGAGTAGCCATACCCTGCTGGTAGAGTGATGTTAAGGTGGTAATCTGCCTAGTCCACCAACACAAGGAAGAGCATGTGAAGAGCATTCCTCACTTCCTGCTTCCCCTCTAAGTGCTTCCGAAATGAAGAACGATCCGGCACTGGCAAAACATGGCTGTCAGCTTTCCTACAGCACCCCCACGAGCACTGATCTCCGGCAGAGCCGCGTGTTTGATGAGTGTGGCATCATGGTGGAGGGGGTCATCTCTGTCAGACCGGAGTGGCCTTAAAAGCGGCCCAGCCATGCAGTAGGAGAACATTCCCAGATCCCGTCAGACGCGTGTGCAGAGGCTGCAGCTGTGGGAACACGCAGCTAGTCTGACATCATGCTCTGCGTTTGCTCTGAATGCTGCACTGGTTTCAGTCTCTAATGTGCCATCGTTTGCTGCGCTGTGGACAAGGTAGGTGTAAAGACAGACTGCACTCTACTCTGACACTCTCCTCTCAAATCTGCCAGAGGTTGAATTTCACCCTGCAAAACTATCTGTCTCTCACCCATTTTCGAGACTGGAGGAGAACGTTTGTTAAGCAGACGGATAACATCCAGAGCTCACGGGCGATGCTGACCTGGTTTTGTGGCTCCAGATCTGGCGGACGTTAGGGATTCACAAGGCGTCGGACGGGGAACGCAGACAGACACGTTTATTTCACAACCTCAGACAGACCGGGCAAACACACAAAAAAAAAAAGCCCATTGCACACAGCCCGAGAGAATCCATTTAAGCAGGCAGCCCGACGACCTGTAAGAGCGTAACCGCTAAGTTCCCATGACGCCTCGTCAAAACAGCGCACCGGGCTTGGGCAGGTCGACCCGGAACCTTCTGACAAGAATAACCAAATAAGAGGACTTCTGAACAAATGGCTCCTTATCATTGAGGGGAGCAAAAATCATTTTCTTACTGAAGAAAGTAAGATTGCTGGATTATTTTCTAACAATGCAGTAATAATACAGAACAAAGGCTGAATGGAAGAATTTATATAATCCTAAACTATATTTCATATTTTGATGTGTTACGATTATCTTCTTCCTACATCACTTACTTAACACCTTCTGCATTGTCAGACTTTCACGTTATGAGATGTGGGTTAATAATTCAATGACATCACTCGTAACGGACTGTAAGATCCCAGACACACACCGTTCTCTGTTATGAAGGCGGACTTGCTGGTCATGATCTTCGAGTACATCCCCCTGCAGCAGACCATCCAGTCGCGGTCGGCGGGCCTTGTGGAGGTGAGGAAGGCGCCCATCTCCGAGTCTGGAAGACAGAGAGGAAACTGGTGGGCTGCCATGCTTAATCTCCGGCGGGCGGGCGGGCGGCCCTACCTCCAGCAGTAAGGCCTTGCTTTAGCCCCGACGCAGCGACACTTTTCATATCACTTCAAAGGTCAACGGAACGACAAAAACACAAGGCGCTGCCTGGACTTCATTAGCACTGCCGGAGAATTTACTCTGCAGGTTTTCCCACTTGTAGGAAGTCATTATTCTTTATTCATCTGAGATTTGCATTTCCTCCCTGGCTCAGCATACATCTGTTAAAGCATTACGGTGTCATCACCATTAATTAACCCGGAAATCATGCTTTCAAGAAACAGCTGCCAAATACCAATTAAATCAGTGGATGTGTTCCCTGTCTTGTACTTTATACTTTCACTAGATAAGCGACGGGAAAATGGACAAATGGAATGGCTGGCTGCATGGATGGATGGATGGATGGATGGATGGACAGACGGATAGGATCCATACCCTGTTTGGTGTGAGGCATCTTCGGAGCCTCTGGAAAGTAACACTTGGGCAGTGGGAATGAGGAAAACATCTTCCATGGATATGGATCACTGCCCTAAAAACATGAAACATAACATTAACACCAACAAACGTGATCGTTCTGCTTCCTGTGATTCTGGGAAGCCAAAACCTCAGAGTTAAGAGATGCCCCCATTCTCTCAATAGAAGCCTATACTGGATTGTTAAGTCAATGGGCTGAGATTTAAATAAGTTATATAAAGAAATGGTAAGATTGTGTTGTTTAAATATTCTTTTAAAATGATTTTAATGAGGGCAAACAAGACTTGCAGAAATGCACTCCAAACTGCACAGCCGAGGGCATCGAGAAGCGCAGCACTGCACAGCCGAGGGCATCGAGTGGCGCAGCACTGCACAGCGGAGGGCATCGAGAAGCACAGCACTGCACAGCCGAGGGCATAGAGAAGCACAGCACTGCACAAGCAAGGGCAGGTTCAGCTCAGAGTCCCCAGGGCAGAGACAGCTGTGCAGCACCACCTTCACTGCAGATTACGAAACAGAAAGGCTCGCCGATAAACACGGCAGCCTTGGGTTGAAGGCAAAGCAGTAGGACTCTGAGGCACCTGGGCCTGCATTCCAGCCTAATCGAGCCATATTTGTGCTGCTGTTGCAGTATAAAATTCTAAAATCGTTATGCTGCTGTTGTAGTATGAAATAATAAGATCGTCACGCTCCTGTTGTAGTATAAAATACTAAGATCGTTATGCTGCTGCTATAGTATAAAATACTGTTTGTTACACTGCTGCTGTAGTATAAAGTACTAAGTTTGTTACATTGCTGTTGTAGTATAAAATACTAAGATTATTATGCTGCTGTTGTATTATAAAATATTAAATTCATTATATTGCTGTTGTAGTATAATATACTAAGATCATTATGCTGCTGTAGTATTATAGAATACTAAGATATCTGCAGCATCTTCAAATAAATATGTGAAAATAAACAGTACAGCGGCATTAATTTTAATTAAGGTTATTAAAGTTATTAGTTATGCAGGCCCCGTTACAGACCGGCATCACGTCCTGGATGTTCCCTGTCTTGAGCCCTGCGTTTTCTGGGACAGCCGCCAGGGTCACCGTGACCCCGCGCTAGCTTAGCGGTATCGATGATGAATGGACATACATATAATACATTAATTTACAAACCCGCTTAGTTGTGTGTAATTGAGTTAATACTCTTTCTGGAACATTTCCACAACAATACCTTCACATCAGTTGCCACTATCTGCGAATGGTTAGTCTTGTGCAATTAATCACTCTCTGTACAGTCCAAACAAAGGACAGCAAAATATCGCCCTCCCCACTGGGATTCGCACACATAATGAGGGTAAATGGGGGACAGTCACAACTTCCTGGGAATACGGAACTGATCCTTTGACTGTCTCCGTGACAAAACTGCGAATATTATTATTAATGGCGAGGGGGCTTGGATGCAAATGCTCGCCATGGGAAGCCTTTTCAAGCAAACACTGAATGCAGGGAAAGAAACAGAGGACATTCATTAGGAAAATGAGCAGAATATTCAGTGCCGGACTCTTGCCATTGTTATATTCTAATAACGACCCGTTCCTCCATCTCACTGCCGCACAGAGAATAAAGGTAGGCAGTGTGTTTGTTGCACTTGGTCTGCGATCACATAGAGATTCGCTACTAAACTCCGGCCCACTGCTGAGAGAACTCAAAAGCAGCACAGCGTTGAGAGCAGCTGTTGCGGTTAGTGCTGAGAAATGATGCAGACTGGATGCAATTTGTAGGAATAAATGCGCGCCAGACCATGGAAACCAGAGAGGACAAACGGCGACACACGGGGAACGTAGATATTCATGAGAGGGCAGACTGACCTTCTGCAAGGCCCGCGACGGCAGCCTGCGTTCGCTCGGCCCGCCCACCGCCAACATGCGCACCAGGACATGGTTCCTCTCGACAGAGAGCCCGTCTATGATAAAATCTCTGTGGGAAGAGAGACAGAGCCAGCGTGGGATGGCCGGCGACGCCGTCAGTGCCACCAATGAAACGACTGTGGCTGACCTGTGGGGGGCGCAGTGGTTAAAGAAGAGTTTCTGTTTTCCAGTATAAGCTGCCATGCTGTGTTATCTTTGAGGGAGCAACCTTACACTGACAAATTCTGTGTCACGGACAAACAAACAGTGAGAAAAACAATCATAATCACCATAATTCTGCCGTTAACAGGCAAAACACCATAACCCCATATCTTCTTAAAATGTGATGTTCAAAATTGGATATTTTAGGCTCTGTTTTATCTCGAGACAAGATATGCGAGCTTGACTTTGCTCACCGACTATAATTTATCTATCACACATAAGGGGTGGACTTTGAAACTCTGAAGGCCTTTTTCTCAGTTACAGTGTACAGTAGGCATAGTTACTGTATTCATCCTTTTTAAGGCAGAATAGAAACTGATAATTACTGTTTCTTTGGCAACTGTTATGTCAAAGGAATAAAAGGGCTATAGGAATTTACAGGGAGGACTCTAAATCCGCACTTTAAATCGGTAACCGGTAAGGAGGACAGCGACACCCATTACAGAGACACTTCAAAACTGGTCCCCATTTCGCTTTGAATCTTCCTCCAAGAGCAGAAATTATGACATGGTTACACAGCCAAGTTTTTCTTTTTTTATTATTTGACAGTGAAATGTGAGAATCATCCTGCTACTTTCTGAGCCCAGGAGGGAAAAAACTCAGGGGGAAAAAGGGCAAAAGAGCTTGGGATTTCATTCAAACTACAACCCTTGAATATATTCTGAAACAGCAATAGCTTATATTATTCAGCCAACAAAAAAAAAAAAAGAGCTTAATTTCCGCCCAGGAAGTATCTCTCTGTCTGTCAACCTGTCTTCTCTATTATCTGTAGGATTCAAAATGATTTATACATTGTGGAGCTCATCAATAACAACGCAGGGCGCTACATTAAAAACCCACATACAGTAGAGATGGAGAGACTTCAAAGTTCTGGAGGAGCACCGTGAAATACTTACTCTCTGCCTGTAGATGGAGCCACTGTGTTGTCCTTCTGACCTTGGAGTAACATCTCAGAGATTCTATATTGTGACTGCAGAAGCAGGAGGGAGTCCAGGCTGCAGATCATCATGCTCAATAACCTGGAGGTTAAACAGCATCAAGCAGGTGAAGCCGATCCAGCTCTAAGCATAACTGGCTCTATTTGTACAAATTAAACTATGCTATCAAGCAGTTTTTGAGTTAACATATCAATGTCCAAGGTCAGATTTATCTGCCTGTAAGACTTCTCATTTAGGCTCTCAAGAGGACGACACATACAGTGAAAATGTGTTATATAAATTCAGCAAGCAAATGAACTTAATAGCTAACAGCTGTGTTGCAAAACAGGTGCCTGAAAGAATTCCTTCGCTGTAGCTTTGGAAACATTTGGACTGGAGATAGCTTTGTGGCTACAAAGACAGAAGCAGGGCGCCAGAGCTGTGCCCAGTCATCCTTTCTTCACAGATAGTATGAAAGCTGTAATCATATGTCCTACTTTCCTGACTTACTTCCCAGTAAACGAAATGATTCTACAAAGGACTAAACTGAAAGTGCTCTACATAAAGAAAGCAATGTCGTAGCAGGAATGGGAAAATGGATTTCAGCGTTCAACAAATATACAGCGACAGGCAGAGCCGGGACAAAGCGACACGCTCGCCATGTACCTGCAGTGAGAACAAAATCTGACACGAAATGGACGGAGTCTCTGAGGATATCTACGGCCAGACACGCCTGTGAAGGAGGACGGCTCCTGTGCTTTTGCTGCTGCTAATCTCGCTGCCTTCCCCAATACACTGGTACTAACTACCACTCCGGTCAGCACTAGTAAACCTGGGAGTTTTTTATAGTGAATATGGCAAGATACTTTACTGAGGTGATGGTTTACAATGAAAAGCAAAGGGTCAAGCGTGTATTTAATCCTCAGGCTCAGCTAAAGTTCTGATTTGTGCTTCTCCGTCTGAGTAAAGTGAACTGCAGCATCAGCAGGAATAATAATAATAATAATAATAATAATAATAATAATAAACCCTCTCATATCTCTCATACTGCACAAGCCACTCTGTAAATTCCTGTTGTTTCTTAAAGAGGAGAGTTAGCGCTTTAAGATACGTTACATGTTTGCAGATGTGACCTTGCCAACGCCAAATCAAAATTTTCTTCCTGCCAAATCAAAATTTTAAAATCAATGATTTTTTTTCTCCCCTGGATCTCAAGAGGCTGTTGCTGCTGCTAATAATACTAATAATTTAAAAATATTATTATTATTATTAATAATAATAGGGGTGGTACGGCAGTGTGGTGGTTTTGCACTGTTGCCTCACACCTCTGGGATCAGGGTTCGAGGGTTTGAGTCTCTGACCCGACACCACATGTGTGGCCTTTGCATTTTCTCCCTGAGTCTTTATGGCGCTTCCCCTTGGTTCCCCCCACAATCCAAACACAATCCTAAGGTGATTGGAGTTGCCAAATTGTCCCTAGGTGTGAATGGTGAGTTTTCCCTGCGGGGGGTTGGCGCCCCACCCTGGGTTATTCCCTGGCTTGCACCTGTAGGTTCCCGGATAGGCCCTGGGCCCCCAGACCCTGCGTAGCACAAGCAGCTATGGAAAATACATGGATAATAATAATAATAATAATAATAATAAAATCAAATCATAGTTTATTTATCAAATGCAAAGCAGTAGATGCAGGCATTGAAATGCGCTAGATCCCTATTGTACATAATAGTGATATGTAAAAAAAAAATAAATAAATGGTACAAAAATTGTGCAAATTGTCATACTAATAGGCTGATCGGCTATTGAGCTATTTATAATATGCAGCAATTTTTAATCACCAACGCCTGAGATACGGCAAAGACAAACCGCCCCAACAGGCCTGATTCATGTCACAGTTCCACTAGGTGACCAGGAGAGGGCGCTCTTATTTCCAAGCCTGTTATGGACACTCAGTTCGATAATGGCCCATCTTAATTGCACTGCACGAAACACACATGGCTTCCTCTGTCTCTCTCTCTGTCTCAGTTCTCCCGTCTCTCACAGAGAATCATTCCCAAAGCGCAGGCCTGCTGTTATTTCATTTATGTGAGCTGTGATATTAGTTCTGCATAACGACTCGTCTAAACCACGCTGTGCAGATTTGTAAACAGGGAGCACTGCTCTCCAAAACAAGCCTTCCTAATTGATCCATTTTGCATATTTCACTACACAGGCCCATCCGGGGGGACACCGCTTCTTCTCCTTAATCTGGAGGCCCGGCCCCCACTGACTTTACTGCTCGACTTCTAACTGGGGCAAAAATACCAAAGGATTAATTTTTATGTAAAAATGTACACCCTTTGCACAAACTGCATATTAATCATATAGTCATTTTTCTAACAAAGTCTTTTTATATGACTTAAAATTTTGCTTCTATGAAGAATATGCATACTAGGCTTATTTGTAAGTATCATCGTATTAAACATGCAAGCAGCTATTTGCTATTTCCCAGTAATGGTCTCACATCTGTGATTACTATGCTGAAATATATGGGCTGCACATAAATACCGTGATCCTTAAATCTCAGCTCGATTTACAACCAGTCAAGGTAAGAAAGGAGCAACAATTCATTATGAGAAAAAGAAGAAAAAAAACATACAATCGCAGTAATTTATGCGCTTAGCAGTTCGTGTAATCCTGGGGTGTACATGGGGGGCGGGGCCACAGGGCCACTGGCCCCAGCTGATAGGCTCCCAGAATCCCCCTCTCATGTCACTCACCAAATAAAAACATCTGATTGGCTAATGATAAGATGGGTCCTGTTGTAAGAATTATGGCCTCTTTTATGCCCCTCCCATTTAAAAAAAAAAAAAAAAATCATAGAACTCAACCCCAGCAGGATAAAAAAAGGGCCGAGACCAACTCCTTGAACCCTCTACCGCCTCTGGAGTGTTTTCTCCAGAGGACACCAGCCGAACATGAAACACACAGCTCACTGAATGATACCCTGGTCGGGGGGGTACACTCAATGCTGGGGAGCACAGAGCCAGGCCCAGCAGCCAGGGCTACTTCCATGTGAGAAGAAGAAATACAGCCCATGCAGCAGAATAATGGACTCTGAGAGGCTCCCTGAATTATTGATGGACTCCCCCGCTGAAGGCCAGCAGCCTGTTGGATGTGAAAGCTTCACAGGGCACTAAACGCGTCCGGAGCTGCACTCACACCTGCTGCCACGTCAGCTCCGCCTCCTCTTCTCCTCTGTGTGCTATTTCATCATGTCCACCCCCCCCACCCCCCCCCCCCCCCCCC